CACAGTGAAATAACGATGATGCTGAGTGCTTACCGGAACAAGTAAACGGCAAAAGTCGCTTCCGTACTTCTGGTGCGCTGAGTGCTCGAGCTGTCAATTCCTGTCCCAAATAGCATCCTTTGTCAGCACTAAATCGCAATTTTACATGACCGATTTCACGCACAGTCAAGCCTCTGGGCAATGATAAAACAAATTTTTCGTGACCCCACATATGATGGAATTTTCTATCAAAACAAACGAACTGGCCATAACCACAGAAAGAAACGGAATTGGCAGAAAGATGAAAGGGACCGCTTATTAATGAATACTCGCAAAAAAAAAAACAGCTGGTGGGAGGTACAAGTATGGGGCAAACAGGCCACGAAAAGTGAATCGTAGAGCTGAAGCGTAACATGCGGTTTAATCTCACCAAAATCAAGACTCTAGAACCACAGCACAGCCAATGTGTAGCTTTGCTGAATTTTTTGGCTGATCTACAGAGAACCGGAGAGCTTGGGACAACCGGTGCCGCAAAGATGCACATTTTCAGTTAATTATCAACTAAAAACCGCTGAAACAGTACGAAGAAGTTACTATTTGTGGGCAGAACGTCAAAAATGTTCATTAGGACACACGATGGATGCAACTCGGAGTGTTTCAGTGTGTTCCCACTTCTCGTTTCACTGAAAAGGCGTAATTTGACTACCTGATGCCGTTCATGATGTCCGCGTTCACGAATAGCGGAAGCTCACCAGCTAATTCATTCGGCCCTTCCGGAATACCAAAATCAAATCGCCTCTCTTCATACGCCTCCTCATGCGCATGTACACCTTCTGAAAGCTAAAAACTCGGCTCATAAACATGCAGTCTACTGAGAATATCAGCAGAAGTATCTGTGAATCCCGAGTGAACATAGAAGGAACTTAATGCCCTCATTCCGTCACGTGCAGAAAGATTTCTACGAAAAAGTGATACAAAAAACCGAGAAAAGCTCTGCGCCATTATGTCAGGTATAATATTGCATTAAAACAACATCGCGGGCCAATCGCTTCGGCAGCACGGGAAATGATATATTTAGAAAATAAGACGAGGAAACAGGATGATCACACCTTCCTGTGTCGAGAAAGCGCTAAAATCATCCACCTGTGCGGGAAAAAACCACGAACCGAGATTCAAAGTCACAAAGATTAGCTAAGGTAAATAGTCCTGACCAAAAAGGTGAGAAAATTTATACTGAAACAGAGGAAAACAGGCCCACGAATGGCAAAGGTGCTGCTAAAGCGGTAAAAATGCCACGTGCTTGTATGCAAAAGAGATGAGGTAAGCAAGGGTAGCATATTGAGCCATTTTGGCAGGAAGGTGTTTGCTTTTGGTTGGAAATGTCATCTGGTCGACAAGAAGACAGACATTTTAACAAATTCACAAAAATTATAACACACCCGTCCACTCTAATTCAATCTAAACCAAATCAACGGGGATTTATTTCTGGGCCAGGCGCCGATCAGCAACTCCCTTCCTATGCTTTAAAGCACCACCGCGCACAAATGCTGCAAAACTTTCCTGCCCAACTACAAATTAGTGAAAAAAATACTTCATGCGAAACTTGTAGAGATGTGCATGCAAACCTAGAGCGGAGCTGCTGAATATGCGTTTTCCAAAAGATGGTACCCGCGGATCCGGGAAACCAGCGATGCCGGCGTCACCGTCTGCATGGTAAACCGAATAGTCTGTTTTTTCAATTGCCACATCTTTGTGCATTTTGTACATTTCCAGCAATTTTCGTAACTTTGGTTGATTGTTCCGATCACTTTCGATGAGTATTTTGTCATCGGATTGCCTGTGCAAAATGAGATCTTCGACGACACGTCCGCGCGAATTTAGCATCAACGAGTACTGCACTCCGCCACTGCCAAGCTTTCTGAAAGCTCCAAAGAGGATGTAACGCTCCTGAAATATTTCTCGAATGGGCCAAAACTGAAATGGCTAACCAGACATCCTGTGAAACTGAAGCGATGTGCAAAATGCTGTTTTAAGTTGAAGGCCAAGTGAAGCACAGTAAGATCCTGGTTGCTATGCTGTCACAACGTCGGGAGCCCATCTGTCACAGAAATGCTGCCACAACAAAGCATGAGGCAAGACGCCGTCAGGAAATCCAGAGGTGCGTCTAAACTGGAATGTGAAAGGGACCTATCCTATGCGTTCTGTAATGGCAGTGTATCCGTTTGAAACAGCAAACACAGAGAAGCCATTTAAAAAAAATGAATTACCTCACATCGTTTGTTAGCAGACCTTGCAGAAACTGCAAT